CTGTCTAATGCGTCTTCCTCGGCGATCCGAATGGAGAAGCAGCGATGGAAGATGAACATGATCTGATAGCACTGTCACATTGGTTTGTTTGTCATAAATCAGCATTTTTGATGGAGGCTTCGCTGTATATCAAGAACCTTCTGTTGCTCGATATCTTGATTCATGCTATTAGGCCGGCATTTCACCCTTAAGCATTTGAGGGAGCTGTATTGCAGACTTAAATTACTTGCAGAACTATTTTCAGCAGTTCCATAATATGTAATTTTAACGTTTTGTTTAGCCTGAACCACAACAGGTGGTTGGATATCAGATTTGATCAATCTGTTACATCGGTTGCCTTCATGTGAAAGCATTAGGCAGAACTGCTGTCAAAACGACCCTAAGGGCCGTTCTAAGGTTAACGAGTCGTGCGTAATACATACAGTTAATGGACAGTGTTGATATGATTGCATTTCTACATAAACAGCGCTCTTAGATGATGTCGTGCTAAGTTCATCTGAAGTCATTTCCCCTCCCTCCTCTAATTGCTGTTGCTTATTTCTTAGCAGTTTCAAGTGAATATTCTAGGTTCAGTTCAAAATTCCGCAGCTAACTGTTTCCGGTCTGAAGGTCAGTCGATTGGACATGTACGATGAGAAATACAAGCCTTTCAAGGGAGTTAAATATTTAACGAAGGCTGGAAAGTTCCAAGTTCGAACATAGCTTGGCACTGGCTTGACCTCTTTGCTATTTTGCTGAAGAATTGTTCTTTGAAGACGATGAACATTTCTTTTTGTTTTTATAACTTTATGTATTGGTGTGTGTATTTTCGTTTCACTGCAGTATGCTGCGAAATTAGGCCAAATCTTATGAAAGTTTTTGATATGATTTGAATTATATATCTAACGACATGATATTTTGATCTACACAAGGTGTTTTGCCGGCTATAGTAATAAGCACACACTGAAATTGAGCACTTATCCGGTGTATTAGTAGTTAGCTGGTTGGAAATTGCCATGAATGAGAAGATGGCACTTATTGATTGCGCAATTTGATTTACTATATAAGCGTACCAGTAGTATCAACAGAGTTCCTTGCTTCATGCTTCGTGTAACTCAACGAACAGTGCCTCCCTGAAATACGATAAACTCTTTTAATTCGCACCCGTATCCATTTGATCATTCATCACATGCATCTGACTAAAAGAATTGAAACCTTGCATGCTACGACACGCAGGTTTATACTCGCAGTGCTGAATCATACTGAGCGTTTATTACAACCCTCAGGACCATCATGTGTAGGGAGTGCAGTTCTTGATTAGAGAGTTTGTGACATTGATTATGCTTATAATTTGCATTTTTGCCTCATTTCTCGTTTCTTGACAGTATAAATGGTGTGATCGCCTTCTTTGAAGTCACCCGTTAAATTTTTTCTCATCTTTTTTCCAATCTTGGATGTAACCAGTCACTTTTCGACCACGGTTCAGGGGATAGAGGACGTGATGAAAGTGCCTTCTTCGTGATGATGCAGAAGGCGGTTTCCGGTTGTTTCTTTTTCATTTGCACTAAGAACGATCGTTGCTTATACTCTGTAGCTTTATAGGCTCACCGGCTGTCATTCCCTGATTACCACACTGACCATTCCAGGATTTAAGACAGATCTGAATAGCGAAAAAAACAGGCAAGTACTGCGTCAAGCCATTCTCTCTTACTTTGGATGCCACGGCTAAAGTTGAGAGTTCATCTGCTTAATCGTTGTTTGCCAAACAAGCACTGTAATAGTTTACCGTCCATCACATTGCTGAATCCACTTCATCAACGTGAACAGTTTTGTGTCACTTGATTTCGATGGTCATCACTTATTTTTTATCATTGGTAATCATATGCGTCACTGTTGCGGTGTGTTAGTTGTATATAGGCATCTCGACCAAAACCGGATTTCACAACGTACTGTTCCGCTCTCTTGCTCTCAGTGCATAGGAGATCATTCAAAAGGATCATGTCTCTGTGACATATAGGCATATTTGGTGCATAAATACATTTCGCTTGCATAGCAGGTATTAAGGTACAATTAAATGGTAGTGGCATCTAGGAACAATTCGGTGTGCCATACGCTGTAAAATCG